GGCTTTGAGGGGCTGGCTCTTTCCACCACGCAGCAGCAGATGTGACCCGGAGGCCAGGAATCAGTGTCTGCCATCCCTCCCCTAGCGCTCTAAGGGGGAAAGTTCCCTGGGGATTGGGGGTGGGGAGTGGGGTGGGGGGTTAATCCCTTCAAAGCAAAGACAAACACGTTATGTGGAAACAGAAACTCTTTGAAGGAAGCCTTACAAACAAGAATAACCTTGAAAATGACCCTTTGGATGCAGATCAATTCTCAGGACCATCGCCAACCACTTACAACTCCCCACAGACATTCCACAGATAGGCCTCCCCGAAACCCAATCCCTGTCCTGGGCCTTGGGTGCAAGTGGGGGCTCTGTCGGATAAGCCGCTGGAAAAATAAAGCACCCCCTTCTTCTTTGTTCGGTCAGTGCAAGTGACCTTGAGAGAGCTCCGTGTCTCTGGGGGTGGCTTCTTCCACTGTGGTAGCTGGACTCTCCTTCTCCGGGGAATTCTGGACCTGGCGCGGAGGTCTCGGGTGGAGGTGGGGGTGGGAGTGGGTTGGCGGCTTCCCAGCTCCTTGGATTTGCCTTAGGACGGGACTGTCCCGCGGTCTGCAACCCCTGAACTCTCGGAGGGCTGCGGGGCAGCGCTAGCCAGTAATGGCCATCATCTATTTTTAATCAGACCGATCGCAGGCAGGATGGTAAGCGAATCCCAGTCGCCAGTCGATTTAAATAACATTCCCGAGGCAAATCCAATCGCTTCAAACGAAGACACCTACGCGAGCGAGAGCCCCCGCCCGTCTGGCGGAGAGGCGCGCGCGGCGGCGGCGGCAGCGGGAGCCCTGTGGGCTGGCAGGGGACGGGCCGGCCGGCGCGAAGGGCGCCGGGACTTAGCTGGGGCTCCCGCCCGAGGTTCCGGGGAGAGTTTCGGGCCGCGAAGCCGGGCGCGAGCAACGAGCGAGCAGGGAGCCAACGAGCGCGGAGCGGGCAGCGGGCGGAGCGGAGCCGTCGGGCGGAGCGGGCTCGGAGCTCGGCGTCTCGGCGGCTCGGGACCCGGCTCCTGCGGCTGCGGGGCGGCGATGTTCCACTGCATCCCCCTGTGGCGGTGCAACCGTCATGTGGAGAGCATCGACAAGCGCCACTGCTCGCTGCTCTACGTCCCCGAGGAGATCTACCGCTACGCCCGCAGCCTGGAGGAGCTGCTCCTGGACGCCAACCAGCTCCGCGAGCTGCCGGAGGTGAGTGTCCAGCCTTACCTGCGCGCCGCCCGGGGAGCGCGGCCAAACCCGGCCGGCTGCGCCCCTGCCTCTCCCCTCCTGTAAAGCCCCTCCACCCCCTCCCTGCCTGTGACCCAGGCCCGACCCACCGGAATCACCCCCCCTCCGGCATTCACCTGCTTGTGCCTTTCCACCCTCAGCCCAGCCCCTTCCCGCTCGAAAACTTTCTCCTCTTTTTGTACAACGCGACTTGGTGTTTTCCAAGTGGAAAGAGAGCCGGCGTGTTTGGAGAAACGTTCTGGACGGGTACGTAGTGTAGGTACACGTCAAGGTACTTCCTCCGGACACCTGGCCCATTGTGCCAGACCAAGCGAGCCAGGTGGCATCGCTGGGCCCCCAGCTGGAGGGCCCAAGCTGGGCACCCCACTTCCCAGAGCTGTTCCCCTTCTCCGCCGATCCTTGATCACTGCCCGGAACGCGGCTCGCTTTTGTCCGGGGCCGGCCCCCCAGGAAGTGGGCAGCGCGCAGGGAACAGCACTATCTGCATCTTCCAAGCAATTTTCTCTGGGCCTTTTCTCCGCGGGACGGTGTTTGGCCGAGCTGGGGGTAGGCAGGCAGTGGCACCCCTTGGTGGCGCAGGGGTGAGGGACGCGATGGAGGAGGTCTGGCCCGGGGCAGCTGTGGACTGGTGCCCAGATGCCCAGCACCCAGGCCCTGCCTGCGTGGACCTGTTGCCTGTCGAGAGGGCCGCGGTGAACGTCAGCCGAGTCTGCCCAGCGTGTGAGCCTGGGGGCCGATTCTCCCGGAACAGCAGCCTGCTGACTCCTTGCAGTGGTGCGTTACCTCTCCAGACCTGGTTACGTAAATTAATCACTCCGCAGTGGCCAGAGCTGCCAGGGGGGCACATGCTGTGATTGTGCCCTAATGGAGGGTCGGGGTGGGTGGGTGGTGGGGAACTGCGAACTTTTAACCTCTGAGCTTGTCTTGGGTACTTAGTTCAAGTAACCCTTAAAGAGGAAGTCAGTGTGCAGAACTAATCCACAAGGTGTGCAGGAAGTAGAGAGGCTTCGGGAGTCCAGAGATTGCAGGAGTCCGGGAGAGGGCCCAAAGGCCTGAGAGCTGAAACTCAGATACCTTGCTTGAATATTAGTTGACATCAGATCAAGTCATTGTCACCATTGTCACTGCTTGTCCTCGTGGCCTGATAGGGTCTTTAGCGCTGACAGGTTGTTACAGAGATCAGAACTGTGTGTGTGCCTGTGTGTGTCCCCGCCCCGATATCTCAAGTGGGATTCCTCTTCATGAATAACTTTTATTGATTGGTGTGGCATTGATTGGTTGCCTTGCTGTCTGTAATTGTGAAGATTATCCTGACCAGGATCTTTGCAGAGCTTTTTTCCTAGGACCCTTTGCCAGGCAGTTCCCTCAGGCATGTATTATTTTGCAGGCATTTTCAAACACTTGGCTGTGCCCTTTAGTTTGTTAAAGTTGACTTGGCTCTGTAATCTCTAGGCATTGCTGTTACCAGAAGTATACCATACGCAATTTAACGGAACAAAAAGTTAGTTGACTTGAAATGTTCCAGGCTCTTCGTGGTGTTTTTGTTTGTTTTCTTTCACAGAGCTGGACGATTACCTTCGAAGAGGTTGACTTTTCCCTGCCTTCTGTAGTTTGTGGGCTTTCCTATAATCTTGGGGAATGCAGTTGGTATGGGAAATTATGGGTTTTTCACAGTGCTAGGTATTTCTACCAGTACTAAATAGAAGCTTCTCAGAAGCCCAAAATACAGTGTGATCTCTTTCTCAAAACTGCCATACTGCCATTGAGTCGAGGCAGGGAGACAGGGTAGAACTGTCCCCGTGAGTTTCTGGGACTCACTCTTCAGTGGTAGAAAGCCCCATCTTTCTCCCATGGAGCAGCTGGTGGGTTTGAACCGCTAAACATTGGAGTTAGCAGCCCAACACATTACCATTATACTACCAGGGTTCTCCATAGTATGATAGCACTAGGTAAATATGATAAATAGACCATTCCACCCCCTGCTGCAAAGGCCAGGTGTAGTCTTGTGTGTGGGTCATGATTGCTCTAACAATTCTTGAATTAGTCCTATAGTTTTTAAGCCATTCAAAATCCAGTTCCCTGATTTATTGTGTGCATGGGTGCTCGAGTGTGCACATGAACAGCCACTGTGAAAGCACAAAAGTTCTTCGAGTTACGGTTAAATTCCCTCCATGGGTTCTCTATTATTTCACCTTTGAGATCAATAGAGCCCATCAGCTTGGCTCACCACTGCCCCTGTTTCCCAACCCTGCTCTTCAACCGCTGCTTCACCAGCGGGTCATACCTCGGAGGTCATTTTTTATGGTGGCAGCCAAACCAGCCTCATGTGTTCTTTGTCATTGTTTGGAATCACGACTGAAGTGCAGGCCTGCATCCCCTACTCCAAAGAGCAAACAGACTCTCCAGACCCCAGGATAATGAAAAGCACCTCTTGTCCATCACAAAGTCTGTAACCTTCCATTTGCTCCAATGCCCCTCCTTTTCACAGATGGAGGAGGGCCTGGATCCAGGTAGAGTTAGACACACTAATTTTGGACACCCAGCAGGAATCTGGCCCATTTGAGTTTGTTTGTTTTTTTCACACCCGTCAAACCTTCAATTATTCAGCCTCTCTTATGTTATTCCTCTCATTAAAACTTGGCCTGAGTCAGCCCCACATTTACTGAGCTTTCCTTATTTGCTAGTTGCTGGGGATTCAGGGCTTACAGAAGGTAATGACTCCCACTAGCCACTCAGCTTTGTGGGGGAGACATGACCTTATTCTGGATGTGGTGAGTGTGGGGTGATGAGGGCACCCCAGTTACCACACTTCTCATCGTCTGTGAATCTGATGCCTGCTTGCCTTATTCTCCAGCTGACCTTTGCTGAACCGGCGCCCCTGTTTGTGGTCCAACCTGGTGACAACCTCTGTTCCGCAGAGAAAGCTTCAGAACTCTGCTGTTGAGCCTGGCTCCCGTTGCACCTGTCCCGTTGATGACAACCTCCCCCCACACCCCACATACACACACATAGCTGATCCCTTTGGGATCTATATTGACCAAGATGATCTGCCTTTGGGGTTTTGCTCACTCCCATGAGCAAAGTCTGGTACCCAGTAGATCTTGTTCAATAAACTGTTACTTAAACAAATCCAGAGTCTTGCAGAAATCTTCCTCCTCCTCCTCCTCCTCTCTCTCTCTTTCTTGAAGCATATCACTGCTGTGACACCTGGCCTTTTCTAGTGACATAAGAGACTGTTAAAGGTGGAAGGGCCTTTAAAATGAATGCTGGCCCATGTAGTGAGGTTGCTGCGTCTTCCCCTCACTGCATCTTTGTTTTCTCTTCTGTTTCCTCATTTTCTCTGACGCTGTTCATTTCCCCTCAATGTGAACTTGTTCTTGAGTACGGTAAACCCTGTGAAAACTGGGCCATAGATAAAGTGAACATCAACCAGAGAAGGACAGTTCAAATAGTTTTCATAAGTAGAGTGATTGATAAAGCTGTAAGGCGGAAAACTTGAGAGACCTGGAAAAACAAGGCAGTCCCTTTGAGTCCCGGCTTTCTTGGGTTTTATGTACTTCAGATAAGTGTGATGTTCTCCTTTGCCTCTCACATCAGCACAGCAGCTAGGCTGGTAGCCAGCAAATATTTGAATGAATGCTCTCAAGCATTCATTACTTAAAGCACTGATTTTCATCTTGTCACCTCCTGTTAATGAGAGTGAAGTTGATAATTTGTTGATTGCCAGATGATATTGCCTCAAATACCTGCCCATTCTGTTTATTCTACTCTTGTTTCCTGCTCCTCACCCCTCTAGTCACCATCTAACCCCAAATTCCACATTTGCTATCTTGTTCTTTGCCCACCTTGCCTATTAGAATATTAGCTGCAAGAAGGCAGAATGGTTTTGTTCACAGCTCAAGCTAGAACTGTCTACTACACCCCAAACCAAACCAAGCCCACTGCCGACGAGTCAGTTCTGACTGATCCTGACACTTGGTAGGGTTTCCAAGACTGTAAATCTTTACAGGAGTAGACAGCCCCTAATCTTTCTTCTGTGGAGTGGCTGATGGGATTGAACCACTGACCTTGCAGCCAGCAGCCCCATACCTAACCCATCGTGCCATCAAAGCTCCTAGTCTGGTACATAGTGGGATCTTACTTGCTTGTTGCATAAGTGAATTCCCACATGTGTCCATCCTGGGTAGGCTGTTTCTCTTTCTTAGCCATTATAATTTGCCTTTCCTATGTGCTGACCTGCTGTACACCCGTCTTTTGAAACTAGTGTGACACAATATCCGGTGCGCTTTCTCACCAGGTTTGGTTCTCCCTGTCTCTTAGGGTCTGGGCTTCTTCGACTACTTTAGGTTGGTAATACTTTTTATGGATTGTAATCATCCCTGCCATGACCATGGCGTCATGTCATCAAGTTCAGTCTCACCATCTGGGTCCCGCCCATTAAGAGGGCATAATCCCCACTTGGAATAAGTCAATTTTGTCTGAACCCTACTATGTTTTAATGTAGGTCTTGTGGTCTTATGTCCCAAATTTTCCTCGCTGCTTCCTTTCTGGGGGATGGGTGGTGGCAGGAGGGGGTGGGGGTGGGGCATCCTTTCTACTTGTCTCAAATGCTTATGGGCTATCTGTCTTTTTGTCCTTTCCTTCCCCTCAACACCCATCTTGTCACCCAGTTCTGTCATTTTCGCCCCCCAGGTGCCATCTTTTCTCTCCGTCTCTCATGGCTGCATGGCTGGTTGGCACTGGATTCATGTTATCCATTGTAGGATTCTTACTGCGGGAGCTCTTCAGTTACGGGCCTTGCCTTTAAAAAAAAGAAAAAAGCGCCTTATTTTTTAGTAAAAATGTATGCCACATACATGCCTTTCATTCAGCAGTTTCCTAGAATTAATGATCTGGACCGAATGATCAGTGAAACTCGTTGGTACATTGTATCAACGTTCTCCTTATTTTTGTTCAAATTG